ATTATGACATCGTTAATATATACTGAATTACTTTCCTAATGCTATGAGATTGACATCTTTGGCATTTAATTTCCAGCTTGTTTCGCAAGTTATCGAATATAAAGTTAGCTCCCTAATTAACGTAACCAAAGATTTGAGAGACCATTTAACGAATATTATATAAGATTCCAAAAATTAATGTTAGCTCTCTAATTAATGTTCCCGAATATTATATAAGGCAACTAATTAAGGTAAACGAATATATGAGATACGATTGTCAAACCATTTGCACGGCGAAAATTTAAAAAATACCAAAGAAAATAGAAAAAAATCAACCAATCAGATCGTCAGAATTTCTCTGAGAAGGCCTGTGTGAGCGACACGTGTCCAAGTGTCTTCTCTTTTAATATATAGGAGGATAATTTATCGTTGTTTCCATCAATGGTAATTTTTTTATGACAGAAGATACTTTCCTTTCACGTAAATTTATGGGTGTATCAATTGTTACTTGTAATATTGATTAAACATTGCATGAAGGAAATTAAACGGAAAATCAGAGAATCAATGTAGATACGTAACGATTTCAAAGCCAAAATGTGATCAATTTCCTTTCTTCTCATGGTCTAGCTTCTTTGTTTTTTTTGTCCCACAAATCTAAAAGAAATCAACAGATATCAAATCCTATGTTTAAAATGTAAATGCATGGACCTTACGTACTATATTGCATGCAGTATAAAAGCAATCAGTAATATGACCTCTAGACAAAGGATCTTCAAATTGGAGATTCAAAACACAACCGGAGAAAATAAATTTGCCCTTCAGTTATCATATACTCATTCTATCAAACTAATTTTTTTTAACTAAGTATATATAACAATTTTACATTTTACGACCGGAGAAAATAAAATCGTTTATATACTCATTCATAGTATAAACGATTTTACATTTGACTGTTTTGCATTCATTGAACATATTTTAAGAATACATATATAGTGAGTGAGTTTAAAAATATTATTAGTTTTTTGTAATGTATGATTTTTTATCCACTATTAATAGAAAAAAAAAATCAAATCGTTTATATACTTATTTCTATAATATACTATGTATTTATATGTATATTCTAAGTTTTTATAATGGAATATGTGATATTTAATTGTTTCTATAAACAAATTCTATTAATCATGTGTATTTAAGATGGTTAATTGTTTGTTTGGTAATATATATTAGATTAGGTAATTCTAGGATTAGTTTCCTTTAAAAAAATTTTAATTAAATAAATAAAAATTCAAATGCCAACAACCAATCAAATTAAGAGAATTAATTCTACATTGCACCTATGAAAGACACGTAAGCAAAACTCATTAAAGTGACTTCTCTTTTAATATATAGGGGGATAACTCTCATTAATGTAATTATTAATGTAAATAAATATTTCTTGTTCATTCCTTTATTTGCATTGATATATTGCTATTATGTTTAAATAGAAGGTACCAAATTACTTAATATGATTAACATATATATATATATATGAAAATGAAAATTAATATTTTTGAATAAGAAATATTTGATAACAATTTTGTATCATCCATAAATTTTAAAAAATTTTATTATTAAAAGAAATTAAATTCACACTAACTGTATAATAAAATTTCGATTTTTTTCTTATATGCTATATTCTGAAATTTGAAAATGACTATAAATTACTAAAATTATCAAAAGTTTCATATTTTTTTTTGTTATAACATGATACAAATGATCATAAAATCATAAGAATATGAAGTCTCATTTAATAGATTCCAGATTATATGTATATATCATTTAAATTAAATTATATACCATATAAAAATTCATGCATATGTTAATTTCAAAATTTGCATTGCAAATATTAAGACCTTGATAATCTAATGTTTAATTTAAAAAAAAAACTAAAAAGGATTATAAAATTACTAAGACTACTAAAAGTATTACTTTGAAAATATTTTGATAATTTTTTTAATTTTTTGTTATAAAATAATGACACATGTCATCTTTAATGATTTCATTTAAATATATACTATAGCTTTCAGTAAGGTAATCATAAAGTAATCACTAATGTAAAAAATATTATTTATTCTTTCTTTAAATAGAATGTACCGAATTAGCTAATATGATTAACATATATATGATAATTAATAGCTTTTAATAATAAAATTTAATAACTGTTTTGTGTTTCCTCCATCAATTTTGTTTAGTTTTACAAAGAGATTACAATCACATTAAGCATATAATAAAAAATTACATTTTATTCTTATATGATATATTTTAAATTTAAAAGGGATAATAAATTACTAAAATTGTCAAAAGTTCCACACTGAGAATTTTGTGATCGATAGTCTAATTTTTTCTTATGTTATAACAAAATACAAAAATGATCATAAGATCATATGAATATAAAATCTCATTTAATTGATTTCTAAAAT